GGGACCATCGGGCACCGGCTGCTGGAGCCTGGAGGCATCTCTCTCCTTTGGGAGAAAGGGCCGGTGCTGCCGCAGCCCCCAACTGTGCTGGGTGGTAAATAACCCACCAGGAGCATCCTGTAAAGTGCTGGCAGGGGGAATCACAGTCAGGTCGCTACAAACACACGTTGTCCATGGGTTTGGGGGTATAAAACCCACCTCAGAGGTGTTTTTTTTGTGTCCGTGGGTTTTCATTTTCCCTCCTTGGAAAAGGAGCTATAAAAATGACTCAGTCCCTGCAGTTTGGAGATGGCTCCGGGGCAACCGGAGCTGCCACATCCCACCTTGGTCCAGCGCCGTGGCACCACATCTACCTCCCACGTGCCGCTCTCCATCCCAACACGGGCCTGATCCACCGTTGTCCTCTTCTCCAGGGCCACCCCAGGAGGATATTCCCAGCCCGGCTCTCCCACGAGATGCTCGGGGAACGTCGGGAAACGCCATCTCCCAGTGCTTAGGTCGGGGTTTTCACAGCGTCCCGAAGGAGAGCCCCACCGAGAAGAACCCCAAACCTTTGAGCTTCTCCTCGGTCCGGGCTTTCTGCTTGAGGTGGACCTTGCTGTGGCGCTTCTTCTCGTCGCTCCTGGCGAAGCGGCGCCCGCAGGTGTCGCAGGAGAAGGGCTTCTCGCCCGTGTGGGTGCGGATATGGGTGGTGAGGTGGTCGCTGCGGCTGAAGTTCCTCAGGCAGATGCGGCACTGGAAGGGTTTGTGGCCCGTGTGGATGCGGAGGTGCCTGTTGAGCTCATCCGAGCGGGCGAAGCTCCGGATGCAGTTTTCCACGGGGCAGGCGAATGCTTTCTCGTGGGGTTTTGGGCAGAAGCATTTGGAAGAGCACTTGGTCCGGCGAGTCTTCTTCTTGGGCTCGGCCAAGGCGGGAGGGTTGGTGGGAAGCAGGGAAGGGATGGAGGAAGAGGTGGCGTGGCCCAAAAAGTCCGTGGTGGGGACAGAGGGTGAGGGATGAGGATGGAGGAGCTCGGCTGAGCTCATCAGCCCCGGCAGGACTTCAGGCTGGGTTAAGGAGGCATCGAACTCCGGGATCAATGGAGGAGGGAGGTTGTGGATCTTGGTGTCGGCCGGGAAGTTCTCTGGCTCGCAGGCAAAGCCCAGATGGGTCCCGAAGCAGGGAGCATCCTCTGCCAGGCTGCCGAGCTCCGACTGGCAGCCCACAAGCAAAAAACACTCGGAACAGCCCCTGGCTGCTCTCTCCAGCCGGGAATGCTTCGGGAGAATGGTAGCCAGAGGGCAAGTAGGCCTGATGCTGGGTGATGGGCTCCCACTGGGTGCAGGAGGCTTTAAACTTGTCCAGGGG